ACTACTACAATTTCATAGAAGACGTTCCTCCTCCTGGGGTCAGGTCACCAGAGCTGCGCGATCATTGAAGCCTAAGGTTAAGTTTGGGTTTAGGCTTAGGTTAGGCTTATGCTTACACATTGGCTTATGCCTAAGCCTATGATTGGGCCTAGGCTTAGTCCTAAGCTTGCTTCGAGCAAATGAGCGTGTCTCAATTTTAGGTGACCCGAGGAGAAAAACTGCAACGCATTCCAATTTCACAAATTAATTCCAAATTTTCAACTTTTCCTTCCTCACTCCAAACTCCATGGCCTAGTTTCCCATTCGTCGAGACTAGGTCAGTGAGGTAGTAGGTCGAGCGCAAGACCATCTGCCATAGGTAATTCGGCATCCGTTAAGACGCTCACAGCGCGTCCAGCAGTTCTCATCCTCGATATCGTTGACGACTGCTTTGTGCAGGTGATCTCAATCGGGCATCACCCTAACCTAATTGCTAATGTTGTAATGCGAGTACCGCCACCGCCGCGTCCAACACGCAATGAGCAATCCGCGGCAATGTGCCAAACTCGCGATCGCCATCCACGTATGCACACCTGTCCATTCATCGTCCACATAGTCAGTCAGTGCCGGGAGGGAGAGTGTCTGAGCAATCACTCGCCATCACAACCACTCTTCATAGTGGAACCAAAACATTATCGCTCATGGCGAGCACTCAAACAGACGTCGAAAAGCGCTTCCATATTTGCTGCTGCTGTTAGCACTCACTTTACATCGACAGATGTTCAGAGTCGGCACATTGTGACCGACTTGGGGCAACTATCGTCCACCCTTCCGACAATCCGTTTGACCGACCTTTGAACGGCATCCCATGGAACTATCGACCATATGGTCAGCGCACTACTCCACTGAACCATTACAAATAGCATGCATTCGTTATGGAAATCCCTCTGAGTGCTGTCATACTTGAAAAGACGCTAATCGCAGGAAGACAACACAAATGGACATTGGACAGGTGGGATAGGTACTTCTACCGTCGACTTCGCATCGCTGACTTTCTTCGACAGATGGACAGTCCAGGCAGTGAAAGTCGACAACACAGAAGGACCGACTAGTGAAGTTCGGGAGCCCACTACCGAGGCAGACAGACATTGAAAGGAATAAACCGCTGGGTCATCAATCACTAGTGCTCAAATCGAGGCTTAGAAATTCTGCCCTCGGCACCACCCTTGATCATTCGGTCAGCTAAGAAGTCAGCTATGCAATCAACTTGTGATCGCTATGGAGGCTCCACTTGCAAAATGCCCAAGCACACCTTTCACCATCCCTCTACCCAAGTGCGGTATTTCTCCAAGTGGTTCCCGTCCCTCTCACACTAATCACCTTCTGCAACCAACCCCTGTCACTCTCGCGACGACATGGCGATAACTAGTGATTAGTGCAACTCTACCGTACTCAAACATGACTCCTGCGACGATCGCGTGATTGTCGTCAACTTGTAGGCATCAATCATGTCATCATGTGCGGTGCGTTGACTGTGAGTTATTCGACACGCGACGTCGCACGATGCGATCGCTAACGAGTTGCGGCTAATCATCGTCACAGGAGCGAACAGTCGGCAGATTAGCCAGCATCATCTGCACATGGCCTTCAAGAACAACGAACACAAAACTCTCGCACAACTTTCATGCACTTCTATCTGAGGGAAATGTTACCCAGAAACCTTTTGAAAACAGTTATAAATTGAACTTTCTGCTACGAGCTCGCTATAACCTCGGAGCGTCCAAAATGCGACGCCAGTAAGCCGAGTTTCAAATTGCCATGGCCAAGTATTACATCGAGTGAAGCGGACCATGCTGAGGTCGGTTGACGACGGCCACCTGGCGCCATGTGTGAGTGCTCTATCAACTCGCTTTACCACCTCACTCGACTGACCTTGTCCGGCGCGCTCCATGAGCGCATTAATCACACGCAGCCCACTCCAACATCGTTACCGTATCGCAAAGAACGTGACAGTAAGCCACAATT